AAAAATTAGAGTTCAAACATAAAAGAAACGCTTCAGCTAAAATCATGAAGGAATTAAATGCAACCCGCAGACAACTAAACAGTCTATTGTCAGATAAAGTAGAGGGTAACTTGAGGTTCACTAATCAAAAATATTATGAATACGGCCAGAAGGCTAGTAGGTTATTGGCATTTAGACTGAGGAAGCAACAGTCCTCCAACATGGTTCATAAAATAAAAACCCAAGAGTCTGTTGAGACAAGACCTGACAAAATAGCAGAGGCCTTTGCAAAATTTTACAAATTATTATATACGAACACTGATACCTGTAATAATGACCAAGAGCTCACAGATTTTTTAAATAAGATAAAATTGAACCATTTAACGGATGAGGTGGCTTTGGAATTGGATCAACCGATTGAGGAATGGGAGATTAAGCAGATAATTAAATCACTCAAGAACAACAAAAGTCCAGGCCCAGATGGATTTGTCAATGACTTTTATAAAACTTTTATAGATCTCCTGGCTCCCTTGCTATTAAAAGCATATCATCATGCTTTAAAATCCAAAACTATGGCACCGTCTTGGACAGAAGCCACTATAGTAGTAATTCACAAAGAGGGCAAGGATCCTACAGACTGCCAATCATATAGACCTATATCATTGCTGAACACAGATTTACGCATACTCACAGCAATCCTAGCAAGGCGACTTAACAAATTCATCACCCAAATCATACATCCTGATCAGACAGGATTTATTGTAGGCAGGTACTATGCCCATAATATAAGACGCTTACTAAACCTAACAAGCGTTCAAAAAGAAAGAAAGATCAAATCAGCGATCATATCCTTAGATGCCCAAAAGGCGTTTGACAGAGTGTCATGGAAATATCTAATTCATACTCTGAAACGTTTTGGATTTGGTCCACATTTTGTTGACTGGGTACAAACACTTTACTCCTTCCCTCAGGCAGCAGTTAAAGTTAATGGCTTTAGGTCTGATAAATTTGCACTAGGTCGGGGGTGTAGACAAGGGTGTTCGCTCTCACCCCTTCTGTTTGCCATTAGTATTGAACCGTTAGCCCAAATCATTAGAGATGATGCTAATATTAAAGGAATAGAAATCAGCAATGAAATACACAAAATCTCATTATATGCAGATGATGTATTATTGTACTTGACTGAACCTAAATCAACAATCCCCCACTTAAAAGAGCTCATCTCCCAATTTGGATTTTACTCAGGATACAAAGTTAATATAGAAAAAACAGAAGCTATGGACATAAATGGCACAATTTCAGACTCCGTAAAAGTACAGAGTGGCTTCAAGTGGCCCAAGAATGGTATCAAATATCTGGGTATTCAAATACCTCCATCTCTATGTGACCTTTATGAGGCAAACTATAGCAAGCTCCTACGTGTGATTAAAAATGATCTGGACCGTTGGAATACTCTCCCTATTTCTCTGATAGGCCGTGTTGAAAGTATCCATATGAATGTCTTACCAACACTACTCTATTTATTCCAGATGCTACCTGTGGAAATTCCCAAATCTACCTTTGACACCTTGGATAAAATGATAACTGGATTCATTTGGCAAAGGAAGCGTCCTAGAATCAGACTGAAAACTCTGCAGTTATCTAAATCTAAGGGGGCCTCAAACTCCCAAACTTAAAATATTATTACTGGGCTGCACAATTCAAACCCTTATTGGTTTGGTTACAGAATAGTGCAGATACTCGATGGCTGGGAATAGAGGAAAGCATTTGTTCAGTACCACTGCAAGCATTACCTTTCTTAGATGCTCCTGTAAAGGAAATGACAATCTGGACAAAAAACACCCTCAAAATTTGGAACAAAATACAATCGACTTTTAAGTTATTAAAACAGATTTCACTTTTATCATGTATAGGATCTATGAAGACATTTGCACCAAACAACTTAGATTCTGGTTTCAAAAACTGGTCTAATTATGGACTGTCTCACATTCATCAATTAATTAATGATGGACATTTCAAAACCTTTGAACAGATGAAGAAAGAATTTGGTCTCCCTAAAACAGACTTTATAGATATTTACAACTTAGAACCTTTGTGACGACACACAACAATTGGACTAAACTTCACAAACCTACTCCTATAGAAAATTTCCTAATGGACATACAAAGGGGAAAGGAAAATAATAAAGTAATTAGTAAAATATATGACCTGTTTATGTCCATGAATGTGCACGATTCCACAAACATAAAGCATAATTGGGAGACTGAACTGCAGGAGTCAATAGCTGGGGACACATGGGAAGAAATATGTACTGAAGCACATTTAACAACAAATTCTAATACATGGAGAGAATTCAAATGGAAAGTAGTAGTCCGGTTTTTCAGAACGCCAGCAATAACCAGTAAAATGGGCCCAACACAACCCAGTTCATGCTGGAGAAACTGCGGGATGCAGAATGCAAATCATATACATATCTTCTGGTCTTGTCCTAAACTAAGTGATTTCTGGAAGGACATTTTTGAAGCTCTCAGTGTTATTTTCAGGAGAAATGTTCCAAAAACTCCCTTGGTGGCAGTTCTGGGAGTAATACCCGATGGAATAGACAGGAAGGGTGATAGATATCTTCTAAGTATCTTGCTCACAGCAGCCTTGAAATGTATAACTATCATGTGGCTGAAACCAGGGCCTCCTACATATAACACATGGATACAAAAAATTTGGGACATTTATCTGATGGAAGGAATCACATATTCCTTAAGGCTTCAAAAAACAGTTTTTGATATAAGGTGGAGCCCGGTCTTACTGTTACTAATTCAATGACGCCCTTACAGGATTGCTTGTTGGCACCTGTAGGTACCCATGGGTCAGTTAGAATACCTTACTGTTTAAGAATGTGAGGACCATCCTATGTCAGAGGGGATTTAATTGTGTGTCTTGTATTTTTTTTTATTTATTTTTTTTATTTTGTTGTTCTTGTGTGATGTTTGTACTGGTATGTATTCCTTATTGCCTATGTTAGATCATTTGATGTCTCATCTTTTGTCAAGTTATAATGCAGAAGATATATGTCAGTAAGAGACAGACGAATGCAACTGTGGACATGTGTTGTTAAAAATAAATAAAAATAAAGTTTAAAAAAAAAAAAAAAGCAGTGAAACACCCCAAAAGATTAATGCTGCTTACACCATACTGGACAGATAGCAAAGATTTATTACATTGTAAGTTGTAGCACTGTATTTAATTGAAAAAAATACATGATTATGAACCTCATTGTGGTTTTGCAAACACTCAAACAAAGCCCAGACGAGGTGTAGAGTTAATTATAATGTTGACTTTAATTAAATTAAGTGGATTTATGGTAACTTGTTTTTTTCATGCAGTTAAACTAAACATTTGAATTAAATAAGTTGAGGGCTATGTGAGGTGAAAACATTTAAGTAACAACAAACATAGATTCCAAAGCTTCATCTACATAGTCTTTATAAACTTATAAAAAAGGACCTAATAAGTCCTTTTACTGCCAAAGGACTTATTAGGTATTTTTCAGGACGCATTTTTGTGAAACTGAAACATGAGTGAGCTATACGTTCATTTTCATGACCATCTCCATCTAGCTGAAGTGTGCAGGCTTGTGCTTGTTTTTCTGAAAATATATCACTGATTTCTGTCATCGTTTGAGTGGACAGAACTAATAAAAAGCAGGAGGCAAGAGCTGTTTCAGTGAAGAAGTTTTCTTTTAAAGAAAGAACCCCCAGTATATTGCTTCTGGAATATACTGGGGGTTTTACTTATATGCACAAAAATAAATCATTACTGCATGCTCAGATTTACTAAGTTAAGTTATGCTCTCTGAAATGGCACAAGTTACTTAATCACATATGTTAATGAAAATTAAGAAATGTGGATGTATATATATATATATTTTATGAAAGGAGAACTAGTTGGGTTTCACAATGCTGATCTAAAAGTGTCACATTGACTCCATTAAACACAATTTGTTGTCGTTGTGGCTTGTCAGGTCAAACCTCGACTAAAACAGGATCCATTCTGTCAACCTCATATGAAACAGCAGTCTCGATGTATGGAAGCAATCCAGGAACCACCAGAGTGACTCTAGTCTAAAATAAGATTTACTCTGACAGGTGCTGTCCAAGAAAGAAACGCCTGTTTTAAAATGTCACATCTTCAAAACTGAGTGCCCAACAAGACAACGATGCCAAACACACAAAGTTGTTGATGGCTGTGCAAACATCTGTGGATTCTCTACGGCATGCTGCTGAACTTTGGTGTGTATTCAAGTCTGTATGTAAAGTCTGTAAGGTATTTTGGTGAAAGAAAATCTAAAAGGTCAAAATGGTCATCACCATATTCTTGTTTTCAAGAATCTCCATCTGTACGTATATGTTCTGTTTGCAATCCAACATTTAAGACTGATCACTAAGACATCATTGTATGATGATGATGGATGCATTCCGACGGAGCAAGAATCCAAAATATTAGAAAGTCTAACTGTAAGACAGGATAGCGTGATTGTGGTGACATAATATTTAAGCAGTTCTTCCTGAATAAAGGAGCAGAAATTGACAATACAGGTTTCTCTGTGCAGTTTTTTTTCTGACAGTGTCTGGTTTTAAAAATGTGATTTAAACTACTATAAGAACAAAAAAACGTTGGATAATTAAGGTACTGCAAAGATGCGTTGTTGCATTGTGTCTATTTAAATATCTATACAATATATAATGGCAAAATGTTCATTTCTCCAACTCTTCATCCCTAACAGAGAACTTGCTCTAAAATTATTGCACAACCTTGTCACGCCGAGTTTTGACCTGTCAGAGACGCTGTAGCAGTCGATGCACGACCTATTACTGCATTATCCTTCCGCTGAGAAATGTAGTCTGTACATTTTAAAATATATTATCACTCAATAAGATATTCATTTTGATATTATGTTATCGTGCAAAGTTAACGGCGGTAAATGCAATAATTCAGTTAATTTCCACTGATTTTACAGTAAAACTGAGCAGAAGAAATGTCAGCGAAAATAGTCCAGCCGCATTAAAGGCAGTTGGCGTCGCCATCAGCGATCTTTTCAGTCGCATGCTGAAGTGGTGAACGGATCATGTCTAGCGATTCTGCTGATTACAACAGGTAAAGAGCTCCATTTGGAGATTTTTCTGAGACGTAAACTAATATTCAACTGTACCCGAACGGCCGGAAGTGTTCAGTAAGTTGCATGACAACGCATTAGTTTATATCGAGGCAGTTAGGCCCAACTGCTTTCGGAGTGATTTGGTAGCTAGCGTAGCAGTTAGCCGCAGTGAAACACCAGTGCTATAAATTAACGTTGTGGTGCATTATTTGGATTAGTCGTTATGGTTTATAATTAACGTTAGCTACTGCGAACACTCGTCTTTCCTTACGTAGAAGATTTATTTATTTATTTATTAAAGTGGCGGGTGCTTGCGAGGGGAACCGCTGGCCCAGGATGCTTCTCGGCCTAGTTGTAGGTAGAAGCCACCATTGCCCGTACAGGCCCAATTATCCGACATATTGGCCATCAGCGATACAGGCGCACACACGGAACTCCATGTTGAAAGATGTGGAACACGCCCGAATTGGGGCTTGTGATTATTTTCTCCCGGGGTTAAACGGACCCGTCTGAGGTTATATAACCAAAAACTGTTCGGGCAGGTAGTAGACGGCCGGGTCGTTGAATTTGACACGTGCGCCCAGTGAGGCTCCGGGCGGTAGTAATGAGATCCTCTGGGCGTGACCCGGACCGCTCCGGGCACACGCGCCACACGTGCAATATGGCTTTTTCACTCAATGTGGCAGAGCCTCATTTCCCAGGGCCGCTGCCCCCTTCCCCTCAGTACCTCATAGTTTACTATTCACCTAGTGGCTAAATTATTCTATTGAAAAATTGGACACTGGTTCCAGAAGTATAACCTTTCAGGTTTCTTAAGCATAAACGTGTGTAACAGTTGTCAACCTGTTTAAAAGCACGTAGTTGTTTTGCTATGCAGTAGCACAAAATGTACTTCAGCCCGAATATGTGCTAGAAAGTGGTAGATCTGGGGATTTTTCTGATTCTTTCAAATGTTTCCACAGTAAATATTCGTGCACCAACAGAGAGCTGGTACTCATTCACAGTCTGGTATTGAATAAAAGGATTAGGGGTATACTTTATACATTAACTGATGGGATTAATTTTCAGTTGGGTTCAAAACGCAACACATTTTTGTCAGCGGCACTTCAGGATAAATATTAAATCGAAACTGATAGAATTATAATGTGTATAGGCAAAAAACCCTGATCGGTTAATTTCCAGTAATAAATGTAAGATATTTACTTTGGAAGTGCAGAATTTAAAGTGTACTTGTGGAAAAATATTACTAATTCCCCTCTGCTTTCCCAATACTTTACGTAAACTAACATGTTCTACTCCTTTAAACAAAAATATCCAAAATTGAGAACCAAAGGGTGAAATGAGATGTTAATACAGATAAAAAAGAGGGCTTCCTGTAGAAATGTTTTATTTTATTTTTTAATGGTGGTGATGAGGGAGCCTTCAGTACATGTCTGGAATCTTATGCATAATGGCCAAACTATCAATTCCGTTACTGTTTTTCAGCCTACTAAAATAATGGCCTCAATCTTTCTTCATTATGCCCAAGGTTCCAAAAGATGACTTAAGAAGGTGACAATATGTTAAAGTTAGCTTCGTTTTCACACACTTTAACTCAACCTTCCTTAGGTACGATTTTTTTCCCCTCTACTTCAAACTGGAGTTTTACTTCACTCTCGACAGAGGCGCAGCGCACAAGAGCCGGCTGTGTTGGTTTTGCTTTACATTTTAACATATTCTAAAACAAACTTCATTCTGAAGTTGTGCAGTCATCAATCTCATGTAGGGGAAACTCTGAAAATGTGATAAAGCTGCTTTCCTGAGCGACGTATTTATCAGATTTGTTTTCTCCCTAAACAGCTCAAGAGATAGAGACCATGGGGGGCCAGAAGGAATGGAGCCTGATGGTGTCATCGAGGTGAATCCAAAACACGATTTCTTCACTTCACTTTTAATGTAGGGACACAAAATGATTTCAGACATTTTCAATTGTTTTTTTTTTCTTCTTTCTTTCTTGTCAATTCAGAGCAACTGGAATGAGATTACAGACAATTTCGATGATATGAACCTGAAGGAGTCTCTTCTCAGGGGAATATACGCGTATGGTTTTGAAAAGCCGTCTGCCATTCAGCAGAGGGCCATCATCCCGTGCATCAAAGGTACAGGCATCGAGCTGAACACGGGGGCAGCACCTTGTGATTGAGTGAAGTGATGCTTAACCATCTTTCGGGACTTACCCAACATATGGGGATACTTTTTATTACCTTACTGATCACTCAATATCATCCGATTTAACGCTGACTTGTGTAGTTGTGCCTCTGTGTTGTGTGAGGATGCTCTATGAAGGGATATTAAATGTGTTTCCTCACCGTTAGGCTACGATGTCATTGCCCAAGCCCAGTCAGGAACTGGCAAGACAGCCACGTTTGCCATCTCTATCTTGCAGCAGCTGGACATAGAGCAGAAGGAGACTCAGGCTCTGGTGTTGGCTCCCACCAGAGAGCTGGCTCAGCAGGTATGCTGTTCCTGAGGTCATGTGACCTCAACAGTGTCTCAGACCTAGGCAGCATACTGAGGACACTGTTCAGATGCGAAGGTACCATCTTTTATGGATTTGTCACAAATTTCTGAACTTTTTTTTTTTTTTTTTTTTTTTGTTATTTTGTTTTTTAAGAAGATCTTTGTGTGGCTTGGTGTAGTCTCTGTCCATGGCTGCATTGACCTGAAAGATCCTTTGGCTGAGTTTCTTTGTGTCTGTGGAGAGCTTGAGTGATGTGATGGTATACCATCTTTCGGGACTGACTCTTGAGATGGAGAGTTCCTTTCTGACTTACTGATCACTGAGCAGATGTTGCAAACTCGTCTGGACAGCCAGTCTGCACTCGGCCGTCCTGAACCCGTGCTCCTCTCTCTCTCCTCCGCAGATCCAGAAGGTCATTCTGGCTCTGGGTGACTACATGGGGGCGACGTGCCACGCCTGCATCGGAGGCACCAACCTCCGCAGTGAAATTCAGAAGCTCCAGGCCGAGGCCCCTCACATAGTGGTGGGTACGCCGGGCCGCGTGTACGACATGCTCAACAGGAGGCATCTGTGTAAGCAACGCAGCCTGTAGCATTGTTGATTTGTCCTCTAATTGAGCACATTTGAACTGTTTTTATTTTATCTTTCAGCTCCAAAATGGATCAAGATGTTTGTTCTGGATGAAGCTGATGAGATGTTGAGTCGAGGGTTTAAGGATCAGATCTATGAGATCTTCCAGAAGCTCAGCACAAACATTCAAGTACATAACTCCAGATTTCATTCTGTCTCCTTTAAGCACCTGTCCTTTCATTCACTTCAGATCCAGGTTTAACTGGAGTTGGGTGATGAGGCTCAAAAGTAAAATTAGACCATTTTTTTTTTTTGCTCTTTGTTTTTCTAAAAAAAAATACAAATGACATTTTCAGAAAGAGACCTTCATTTCAAACATCCCTTTAAGTTGTATAATGGACTGTCTGGGCCTGGTTACATTGTAAGTATGAGAATATAGACACAATATTAGAAATATGGAAAATTTTACTTTGAGAAAAGTGTTTCACTGAGGAGGGGAAAGGCTTAGTTTGCACTTTTTGCCCCCATCAAAATAGATTAAGTTTGCATAATTGTTTCAAAGTTGGCTCCTGCTAACTTGATTATGTCAAAGGATGCAAAGTAAATCATTTTAAGTTTTTGTTTTTCTCGTTGGAGTTCTCGTTCAAATACAGTTTTATTCTTGTACTTAAAAAAAAATCTTATCTCGACCCAAATATTCCATCATAGTTAACCTGAATTTAAAGTCCTAACAAATAGACTCAAGAAATGCTTTGTGGGGAAAAATCCACATTTTCAAAAAACTAAATCTTGAACAAAGCAAAAATTTAAAACGTTAATAAAAATCTGTTTATCACCCAGCTCTGGCTTCAACCCTCATCTATCTTCTTTCCCAGTTTTTTTTTTTGGTAAGATTTTGTATTTACAATAATCTGCATTGCAATTGTCAGAAATTCTGTTTTGTTTACATTTGGTTAAAAATTGACCAGAAAGGAAAGTCCTTCCTGACTCCACTGGTCGTCCTTCTGCATCTACAGAAGTCTGCTGTAATTGTGTGACCCAGATGATCTGTTTCACGCAATAATGCCAGCAGAGTTTCACGCAGAAGGAGATCATTGTGCACCGAACCGCAAACGAGACGCCGCCGAACCTCTTTCTTAATGTTCATTGGCTGCGGTCTCGAGGTGAAGTGCTACAGCCAATCATCTGCGTCGCCTCCACTCTTAACACTTCTTCTCTCTCCAGGTGGTCCTGCTCTCTGCCACCATGCCTGCTGATGTGTTGGAGGTGACCAAGAAGTTCATGCGTGACCCCGTCCGCATCTTGGTGAAGAAGGAGGAGCTTACCCTGGAGGGTATCAAGCAGTTCTACATTAACGTGGAGAGAGAGGTTGGTTTGCACATCCGCCCTCTGTTCCATCCAGTCCACCCTCTTCTCTCCAAAGCACCCTGCTGAAACCGCGTGACCCGACCCGGCCCGGCCGGGTTTGGCTCCTGCGGCCGTGTAAGCATGGGTACACCAGGGAAGGAGACTAAAGTTCACGGGGTCGCACACGAGGCTGGGAGGGACCGCTTTCTTAATGTCCGCTCTCCTCAGTCTCAAGATCCTGTGTTACACATACTGTGTGTTTTAATTAGAACTGGACAGTAAATCAGTCGCACTTATGATGGGACTGGACAATAGGGCTGAAAAACTCAGTCAGTATCAATAATTATTGATTAGTTTTTGGTTTTTAAGTGTCTGAAATACTGCTCAACTTGTAAACTGTTTTACCCTCCATTTTCACTCCCTGCCATTTATTGCAGAAATTTGAAACTGCTGCTGCACAAATTGGCATACAAGTTGTTGCTAGGTAACCAAAGAGTGAGATAGTTGATGCCACCAACTATCTCAAGTTTATCTGGCTGTGAGAGGTTGAGCAGCTAAAGCCTTTCTTCTGCCTACATTTCCCAAAATACTTTTCATTCTGAATCAGTCATTTAACTTTCTTTTTCGTTACCTAGCAACAACCTGGTTTTCCCACCTGGCCTCATAAATGCTTTAATACAAACAGCAGTTTGCTGTCGTTTCAGATATTTGGAACCAAAAACTAATCAATTATCTACCAGCTGATATGAACCACTTGGTGTTTTTCTGCCATATGGTCCAGGCCTAGTTTGAACTCGCTGCAGCCAGTCAGGCTGCGGCCCGTCAGGCTGCGGCCCGTCAGGCTGCGGCCCGTCAGGCTGCGGCCCGTCAGGGTAACTAACGTGCATCTGTTCTGTCGGTCTGTAGGAGTGGAAGCTGGACACTCTGTGTGATCTGTATGAGACTCTGACCATCACCCAGGCGGTCATCTTCCTCAACACCAGGAGAAAAGTGGACTGGCTGACTGAGAAGATGCACGCCAGGGACTTCACAGTATCTGCTCTGGTATGGAGTCCCGCTAGCCCGTTAGCATGTTAGCTTGGTTTTTCCTCAGCTAACCAGCTGTTTAATTCACAGCATGGAGACATGGACCAGAAGGAGCGAGATGTAATTATGAGAGAGTTTCGTTCCGGGTCCAGCAGAGTGTTGATCACAACCGATCTTCTGGTCAGTATCAAAATGATGAACTATTACTATTATTATTCAGAAAAGCAACCCAAATGATTTAAAATGCTGCAGCAGTCAAAAAATGGCCAAGCAGGTGAAACGTTGGGAGATTAAGGCTCGTTCTCCACAGTGGGTTCCGCTGACGTGGGAACCTGCTACTTAAACACGGGCCACATTCTGAAACGTGAACTTTGCTGATCTGTGGGATTTGGTGCTGGTTTCACGACTGTGTCCTTTCTAGGCTCGTGGGATCGACGTCCAGCAGGTTTCCCTGGTCATCAACTATGACCTTCCCACAAATCGTGAGAATTACATTCATAGGTGAGTAGAAGCAGTTCAAGTTCTCCTCACACTATTTTATTTGTGTCAAGATTGCCATTTCAACAAGGTCCATGAAAATGTTATTTGCTCTTTAAATATGAACTATGTATGCTGAAACCTTGTCTTTTTCCACCAGTTTCAACTTCTCTTGTAATTCCAAACAATATTGCTTAAAAATGTGAAACTTTTCTGAAAAATAAGGAAGAAAATTGGTAATTTTAGGCTGAAAGAATCACAAAATGTCCTTTCCACATGGTGGAGGGACTGTGTTGAATCGCATAGCTTTGCTGTGGACTAAATCGGCTCCTCATCGTTCCCCAGAATCGGTCGCGGCGGCCGTTTCGGCAGAAAAGGAGTCGCCATCAACTTCGTCACCGAGGAGGACAAGAGGATTCTTCGAGACATCGAGACGTTTTACAACACCACTGTGGAGGAGATGCCTATGAATGTGGCCGACCTGATTTGAGCCCTGAGATCTTTTTTTCTTTTTCTTTTTTTACGCAGTGATAGCGATCGTCCACTTGCATTGTGCTTATATTATTCGAGGGGGAGAAAAAAAAAACTACTCAATGCTAAACCTTGGATCAGATTTTTGGTGTGCGTTAAAAGAGAGGTGACTCGTATGGTGGTCCCTCCTGGACAGTTGTAAGTTCTGACTCGTCGGCCGGCTGGTTGGAGCTACAGAGCCATGGGGCGTGTAAACATTAGGGTCCTTATCAGGTATTTCTTTTCATGTTTAAATAAGATGCGTGTATTCGATGTTCTCCACCGTTTAGTAACCTACTTGTGGACTAAAAGGTATAAGTGCTGTATAAAGTCTGCAAATTATGTTATGCTAACATATGTGCGATGTCTTGTGGGCCTGATTAATAGACACTTGTCATGTTATACTGTAGATTCACTTGCTTTTTTTTTTGTTGGTTTCTTTTGTGAATGTGTTTAATTTAAATGTACCATATATTTTTTTTAATCCCACATGCTATATCAGAGTTCCTTACAGGTTGGCCATATTTTGCTGCCGTGGTTTTACCCTTAACAGAGTATATTGCCATTTCCACTCCCCACTGACTCCTTCTTTTCTCTCTTGCAGTGTATGAATGTCTTAATAAACAGAAATTGCTGTAAGTAAATGTATTGTACTGCTGTTGTGTCCAGGTCGGTGAATGTGTGAGGGTCAGATCAGTTTTGTTTGTGGAAGATGGTGGTGTAGAGCTCCCTCTACAGGCCACCAGGAGTAAATCAGCTGCATTGTGTCTGTAGAATCTAAAAGTGGGTATTTTTTTTGCTGTATTTTGTTGAGGCAAAAATATCTCAATTTATGAAAGTAAACCCTAATTAAACTTTGCACTAATATTTAGTGATTTTTGTCGTACGTTTGCAGAAAGTTTACATTCTTTAGAGGTAAATATAACATGGTTAATGGATTTAAAACAGCAAACTACAGTCATGAATGGTACTGAATATGATTTAGTAAAATGTGTTCTTGTGACTTGCATGCTAATATTTTGGATTGGAATTATACAAGTCAGCTTTACCTACTTTTGACTTCTGAAGTCAACTAAATTCTCTACACTTTATCAAAGGCTTTAAAAATAATTTTGAAGAGGAACAGATAAACTTTTGTATCGTGTCTATAAGGTTAGGGTTAGGGTTAGGGTTAGTGTTAAATATTTGTAGTTTTTGTAACTACCATAAAGCTGGTGTTACGCAGTCAGGTCATCTGGGCCGAGAACAAGATTCCCGTTTGCTTTTATGGCCGAGCATAAAAGCAATAGGGGGGGAAATGGCGCCCCCCTGTGGTGCGCACAGTAGACGCACTGTAAAATGTTCCTGGAGAGTGAATACGGCATCTCATTTGGACATCATTTACAAGTTACGACTATGCAAAACTAAAGGGCTAAATCAGTATTCACTGAGATCTTTTCTTCTTTTACAACACCTCTGGACTGCGTTACCCACAATTCCATGGAACTACCTAAAGCACACCATTCGATGTGGATGTTGTGCGCCCTCTGCAGGCAAAGCAGAAGGCGCATTTAGCCTTTCCAACTGCAGCCAGAAAGCTTGCAGCTCTTTAGACACCAAGGGAACAAAACCTTGAAGTTTTAAATGCTCATTTGAACAAATATCTGAACAATTAAATATTACAATCCCTAGGTAGTTAGTATTTGCTTATGCAGAATCTTCAGTGTCATCCAAAGCTGAAAAAAAAACCCCATGAATCTTTCAGAGCTAATTTGCTTAAAAGATGTTTAATTTTTACACATAAATATAAATCCAATTGGTCTATATTGACCAATTTGATTCTTCTAATTTATTTTAATAATTCGGTTAAAAAGGTGACAGTTATGCACATGTACATGATCAACTCTTAATTTCTTGTAGCTGTGATGCACAAAGCAAAATCCTCTCAAGGCTGCAGTTATCCCAGCTGCATCCACACCTTAACATTTTTCTTCCACCCAACTTTCTAATGATTTACTCAAATACTCTGTAAACATCCTGCTTTTTTGAGGATCTTTTGCTTCTTACCCTCCTTTTTTTCTAAGACAGCGTGCCACTCAAGACCAGTTTATTTGTGTATTTCTGTCAGTCTTGTTTTCAGAGAGCCAAACGAAGGCAGAACATAAACAAACTGTTCTGAGTTCATTAATAATGTTGTTTTTGGTGTTTCATCATTTCCTGCAGGAGAGCAACCTTTTAAAAAGAAGATGCAGGATGTGGTGAAAAAGTCTTTGGCAGCAATTAAACCAGGTTTTTATGCAACAATACAGCACGTGTGACATTTAAAGGGGCAGGAGCCTATAACTTTTAAAGGGATAAAGTATCAAAAAAACATGTTTTGATTATTTACCTTACGAAGGCAAGATGATGTAAAATCAACTTCTTTTTTTTATTTTGCATGATGTTATAATATTATTCTCTCATCAAAAGCATACATGGAGAGTTGCTTAGATTGTTTCATGCATGTTTGAGAAATCCTTTGGTCTCCATGACAACCATTCAGCTGTGGAAAACACCTGGGAGGATGGAGCTCCGCCACTGAGTGTAACAAACGCTGATCCTCTGATCCTTCAGACTAGCCAGGAGCAATTAGCAAACACTTGGTGGCGCCAAAGGACTGTTGAGCTCATGATAGGAGCTTCTTCTCAGCGCAACTCTGGTAAAATCCTTGTTAAAGGGTTGATAGAGGAGCCATGTTGAGATGACTTCCTGAAGGTGGAGTTTCAAAAGGAGAAAAGAGTTTCTTAAAGAGACAGAGGCCCAATTTCAAGAAGCTAAACTAGGAAGTCAAATTTCTTTTTAGTTATATTTGATATGTATAGCATTTTTATAACAGCTGGAGTTAACTTGATTGTGCTGTAAAATGATTCTATGTGGCTGGAAGGCGCATAATATGGCCCCTTTCAGACCTTTTTCAGTCAAAACTCATTGAAATACGTGTTAAGAGGAATATTAAGGTCTCTGTCTCCTCAGTGCGTTTTTTAGTGGTCTGGAATGTGGTGGTTCATTTTCACTTTCAATCTTTCACTTCTGTTCAGTCAGAAGACGCTCTCATGCAGATCTGGTTCTCTGTGCAACAATAGACTGGAACGTGTCTGAGCTGTTCTGTGTAAATGAAGCTCAAGTGTCAGACAGGCTCAAAATTCAGACCATTTTCACAAAAACACTTTTTAAAAAGCAAAAAAGAACTGAAACGCACTTCCTGAATGAGTCATGTTTAGCCGAAATGCGTCAGAGAAACGACTGTCATTATCCAGAGGTCTGGATGGACGGGACGCAAAAAACATGTAGACATGTTTATAAGATATAAATATTAAAGTTTGAAAATGCACTCATCGACAAAAACCTGCAAATGTGACACACTGTGAGATGATGTTAGAAGTTCAACTTGGTTCTTCTATTTCTGCCCTGGTGAAAAATGTATGTACTAAATATGTTCAGGTTTAACACACTTTAAGTCAGACTAATCATGAGTATACTTCAAGATCACTTAGGATTAGATAACTTAAAGTGTGACATTTTGGAACAACTAGTTGTGTGCTAAGTGTATTTTAACAGTGTTTAAATTGTACTCAGTATACACTTTGTAATTTAAGTTGAAAATATTGCTTTTTGTGTAATAAAAATGTGCTTGATTAATATGTTTTGACTGTTTTTGTGATTTAATTACATTTAAAATTTTTGAATGTATTTTAAATATGTTGGCATGACATATTTTATATATTAGTAGTGGGAGTACAGTATGCTGCAATTACACCTTTGGTTCATTTTAACTGCTCATGTAGTAACTCTTTAGTTACGCAATGTCTTTTATTATCCTGCTTTGTCACGTTGCACATTACATGCTTCATACACTCCACAGCACTGCAAACACACATCAAGCACCAGAACACAGAAGGATCCATCACAACATGAAACTAATGACATTGTGCTTTCAATATATGACCATTTTGGTAACACTTTATCTGTGCATAAGACGGACATGATCATAACCCCGGCCAGCCAACTTTTAAAGCAACTAATCATTGAAAGTGTCATTATTTACCCAATGACACTGTGACAGTATCATAGTGTCATATGTTGACGCCCCGTCAAATAAAGTCTTACCCATATTTGTTCAAGAGCCAGTGACCTATCACAGAATAGTACAAATTGTCGATACATTCATTGTTTACAGACAACACGCCGATGTCGTCTGTACACAACTTAGGCGTCTATTTTTCTTCTCCTTCGTTTCATAGGCATTACACTGGAGAGCATTTGAATTATTGATGATTTTGACCAACACAGTACATTTCACACGCCGCAGGCCGTGAGCCCTGATTCATTATTAACCATAATGCCTTCACTTTGCTACTGAGATGACTGCGTTGAAAGGAACCGGTGAAGCGATGTGCATTAAAGGCACATTACCACGTCGACATGGTGAAAAGAAAAAATATATATATTTAAGGTATGGTACTTTACCCAAGTGGTCTGACATAGTAAAATGTGTACCTATGATTTCTTCACTGACCCGCCTCACCAGCTGAAGACGGGCACAGACAACCAGAAAGCCTGCAAAAACGAAGCAGACATGAAGAACAGATGCATGGAAGGACGGCGGTGCAGCAGCGTTGAAAATATATGTATAGTTGAAAAATGTTCTGTATTCGGCAAAAGAAACAAAAATACTTTATTTATGACATGGTCATTCCCAAGTGTTTGTTTTATTTTTTTATGGCTGTTTGAGAAATCCTTTAATCTCTGTGGCAACCATTCAGTCGTGCGAAATGGCTGCACAGAAAAACTGGTTGGACTGGTTGGACTGGTTGGACTGAGTGCCGCCTTCACAGAATAAACTCCTCCAAACTTCCACCTCACAGAGCAGCTCTCCACCACAGATATCCCCCCCAGCTCCTTGAGACTTGCCAACAGCAATTAGCAAACGTCTGGTCGAACTGACCAGTCCAGTCTTCTCAGTCCAGAGCTCCAACGAATATTTGTAAATGCTTAATAGAAGAATGTTGATGTGATGACATCCTGAGGGCGGTGTGTCGGAAACAGCAGGCGATTCTTAAAGAGACAGAGGCCCAATTTCAAATTATGAAGCATTTTGAGACTTGAAGATGACATACAGCAATTACTTGATTATGCCATAAAATGATAAAATGTGCCGGGAAAGGACAAAATACTGCTTCCTCTTCTTCAAAAAAAGGAAGGTGAACACACAGAGAGGTGTTAATGATTCACACAATACTGATAAACCAAAAGGTTGTGTTCAGACTGTAGGTCTAATCTAAAATAGATTATGGCGCTCAGAGAAAAACGAGATGTCAGCAAAAAAAAAAAAACTTGGCAAATTTGAAAAAAAAAAAAAAGACAAAGTGAAGTTCTCATGACTAAGTAAGTTTTAACATTCCTTCAGTGTCTCAATCTTACACAACCGGGATTTACATATACTGTTCACCGACCAAACACCTAAAACAACCCAATTCATTTTATTCATAAAGCAAAGTGATATAAAGTAGTAACAAATGAAAGAGCCACAATAATAATGACAATAAACATAATATGTTGTCTTATTTCTGACACCTCTTCTTGACAAATCAAGAAGTATAATGAGTGAAAGTTATAATCCTGAAAATCTGGACTACATTATTTACATCATGACCTTCAGGTCCATTTTAAACCCAGAAGCAAACAAGACGTGAAATGACCTTTGGACTTTTGACTGAGGTTGAATTTGTCTTGTCTGCATCCTTTACAGGTGTAGTTTATAAATAATAAATTAAGTAAATAATACATTTATTTTATGAAAGAAGTAGATGGGTCAAAATGCAGAGGGGATATATATATATATATATATATATA